CCATGAGTTCGGCCACGTCATGCACCAGCTGTGCTCACGGGTGAGTGGTATGGGGTCCCTGGGGTTCAGTGCATCACTGGGCTAATGCCATGGACAAGTACGGGCAGTATTGGTCTGGCACATTCACCACCTCCTGGCACAGGCCGACCTTGGGCCTTCTGCTCTACGTAAATTGTTTTATTATTACATTTGCTTATTTTGCTTGTGAGGGGTATGTGCATGCATGTGCCATGCCTTGCGTATGCAGACCAGAGAACAGTTGACCTTCACCCACGATTTGGGTCTTGGGGTTTGAACTCATAGCATCAGGCTTGGCAGCAAGCCCCCCCTTACCCACTGATCTACCTGCAGTAGTCCCCATGCCCTCGTCATACTGCCATTTCATTTTTACATGAGCATCTCTCCCACACTTACCTAAGATGACTTTGAGGGTACCGTGCAGCCCAGGTTCTTCCAGCACTGGGCTGTTGTGCACAGTTTGCATGCACTGGAGGCTGGGCCTTGTGAATCTCAGTATGAGGCCTGAGGACCCAGGAATGTGGGTGGCCCAGCCACTGGCCTCAGTGGCCAGTGGTATCCAGTGTTCAGGAGCCCAAAGAGCTGACACCTGCTGGGGTTGCACAAGGTCTTACTTACGCCAGATGGGTGGCCTGGTCACCAGCATGTCTAAGCTTTCCTCACTTGTGTAGGCGGAGTTCGCCATGTTCAGTGGGACCCATGTGGAACGAGACTTCGTGGAAGCTCCGTCACAAATGCTGGAGAACTGGGTGTGGGAGAAGGAGCCACTGGTGCGCATGTCCCAACACTACCGCACAGGCAGCGCAGCCCCTCAGGATTTGCTGGAGAAGCTTATCAAGTCACGCCAGGCCAATGCAGGTGAGGCCTTGCCAGCCTTGGCCACAGGTACTTGCCAGATATGAAGCTTAGTGGCCACTTCCTGCTGGCTGACCTCTGACCTCCCCCCAAGGTCTCTTCAACCTTCGGCAGATCGTCCTAGCCAAGGTGGACCAGGCCCTGCATACACAGACAGATGCAGACCCGGCTGAGGAGTATGCCCGGCTCTGCCAAGAGATCCTGGGGGTGCCTGCCACACCAGGTAACTGGTCAAAGGCCCGCCTGACACTGCAGGGCCTCCATTTTCCCCAGCTCCCAGAGAGCTGCACATAGAGGAGCCCCTGGGGCTGCTGGAGATGCAAGCCATGCCTTCCTTACTCCCCCTGAGGCTGTAACCTAGGCGCACACTACCTAGCCTGTCTGCTGCAACTAGCATCTGTCACGGGCTTCATATAGGGGGTGCACAGGGACAGGATGCACACCCTGCAGAGCCCAGGACACATCACCACAGGCCCCACACTGTCCCTGCCCAGTCTGTCCTTCCCCAGAGTGGACACTGCAGCCTCTGCCTTACTGTGCTTACTGTGTCTGTCCAGGGACCAATATGCCAGCCACCTTTGGCCACCTGGCTGGCGGCTATGATGCACAGTACTATGGCTACCTGTGGAGCGAGGTATACTCTATGGACATGTTCCACACACGCTTCAAACAAGAAGGTGTGCTGAGCCCCAAGGTGAGTCAAGGTACACTGCCCCTGAGCCCTCAGTCAGCTATGGCAAACGCCAAGAATAGCACCTGGGCTACATGAGCTCCTCACTAGCCAGTCCAGTTCTATAGAGCTAACCCCTTGGTGCAGAGAACCCCAGCTGCCAACCCCATCCCCCTTGAACCCTAACCCCTTTTGCCCCCAGGTTGGCATGGATTACCGGACCAGTATCCTGAGGCCAGGGGGCTCTGAAGATGCCAGCACCATGCTGAAGCAGTTCCTGGGTCGTGACCCCAAGCAGGATGCCTTCCTCCTGAGCAAAGGCCTGCAGGTAGAGGGCAGTGAGCCACCTGCCTGCTGACCACAAACCAGCCTGCTGCCCTGTGCCTTAGCCTAGCCCAGGCTGGGCGGCCTCAACAGCCCTTAGGCCTGTGGAAGAGCTTGGGGCAGTTTTCCATCCTTGTCAGGCCCTAGCTCAAGGTCCCCTGGCCTCAGGCTGCCCTGATGGCCTCCTTCTTGCACTAGCCCCTCCCCAGCACCTGGTGTTGGATTGGACATGGTTCCTCTGTGATGTAGCCATTAAATTTCACATAGGGCCCCCTGCCTGCTCCTTCTTCTGTGCTTTCGCCTGCCACATCCCCAGTGCTCTGGGCTGTGACATTCATGGGTCACATGACAGTCCAGCTATTGGAGGGTGCTAAGGCCACCTGGCCAGTGTGTCACTCAGGGTCATTGTGTCTATTCTCAATCACCAGTTTTTAGGGGCAGGTTGAGGGGGGAGATTTGGTGATGTCCGCCACCTGCTGGCTTTGTATAGTATTGTGACCTCTACCCACCATTAAATCTGCATTTAAAGAAAGACCTGGCCTCATGTAATACCCGGGCTGGCATCCTTCAAGTGACCTGAACAGCAGACAGGATGAATGCAACAACTGCAAAACTAGGTGGAGGTGGAGGTTCTTGTACCACCAGGACCCGCTGCCCTCAGTTCCAAATAAGCACACAGACACTACATTAGTTATAAAACTGTTGGCTGATGTCTAGGGCTTATTGGCTAGCTCTGTCTTAATTATTAACCCATACCTACTAATCTATGTTTTTCTACATGACCTTATCTTATGGTAGAATGTTCACACCTGTTACTCCTTCCTCAGCTACATGGCATCCCTTTGCGGTGCCTCTCTGCCTATCTTTACCAGAATTCCTCGTCTCCTAGTCCTGCCTATCCTCCTGCCTCTATTGGCCAAACTGTTTTATTCATCAACCAATAAGAGAAACATATATACAGAAGGACATCCCCCATCAAGTAGGCATGGCAAAAGGAAGCCAGATCAACCCTGATCCTCAATTCACACAAAATTACAAACTAACCATGTGTCTTTCCTGTCCGAAGACTTTGGAGCCACCTTCTTTAGACATAATACAGGATGTCATGCTGCTTGCTATCTAGGAGGCCACCACTGAGATAGGGGCATGGGCAGTTTCAGGCCAGTGTGGCTTGTGTGGGTTCCTGGGCCAATGGCTCATTAACACTTTCCATACAGGCTTGCTGGCCTGAGTTAATCCCCAACATCGTTTGAACTCTTGCGCAGGGTACCCTTCTCATGTCTACACAGTTAGGGAGATGCCTGGGGCTCCCTAGTCAGCCAGCCTGGGTGAATTGGTGATTCTCAGTCAGTTTCAGAAAACAGATCTAGAGCTGGAGAGGTGGTTGAGTGGTTAGAGTCCTGGCTGCTCTAGCATGGGACCAACTATAACTCCAGTTGTGTGGGGGGAGGGGCGTCAATGTTCTCTTAACCACTGTGCCATCTAGCCCCGTGGGTCAATGTTCTCATACAGGCACTAGACAGATGACTAAGTGCATTTACAGACTTAGGCTCAAGTTACTGCACCCATAGCAGCTCAGAATCACCTGTTGCTACAGCTCCAGGGAGTCCAACCTTACCCCATAGGCTTCTGCTCACACGAGGTGCACAGGCACACCAATACTATAAAAGAAGGATGGCCACCACCTTCAGATAGGGTTAGATCAATATCAATGGGGCATGTGTCCAAGGGGATGAAGTGACAGACACTTTGGGGTCATGTAGCCTATGTCACACAGACAATGGGCAGGGGCCCTGCCCAGGCTCATCTGACTTAGATGTAAGGAGTAAGGTTTTTCCGCCCGCAGCTGGTCCGGTCCTGCTGCTGGGCCTGCCCCAAATAACACACTAAGACTCTGTACTTGATATAATGCTGTTGGCCAGGTACTATTTTCTTATCGGCTAGCTCTGTCTTAGGTATTAACCCATTTCTGCTAATCTAATATTTCCACGTGGTCTTCTTACCAGGGAATGGGGCAGGCATCTCGTCTCCCCAGTCTCTCCATCTTGACTCCTCCTTACTCTTTCCTCCTCGTCTCCTAGTCCCGCCTATCTAGCTTTCCTATTGGCCAACAGTACTTTATTCATTAACCAATATGAGAAACATATTTACAAAATGACATCTCCTATCACTTAGATAATGGATGTACCCAAAAAGGAAAAAGCACAAGGGATGCGGTGGCCACACCTTTCATCCCAGCCCTGTGGGTGCAGGGGACCTCTGAGTTCCAGCCAGGCATGGCTAAAGAAACCATGTCTCAAAACAAAAAGAGAAATGTGTGTTGTATGCACATATGTGTGGGGGCCAGAGCAGGCCCCTGTGTCCCCTCTGTCCTCTTACTAACTCCCTTCACTGAGGGTCTCTGGCTTCACATGAGGCTTGCCCTCAGGATCCATCTGTTATGCAAATTCAGGTCCTGATGTTTGCCTGGCAACCATCCCTATTCACTGAGCCACTTCACCAGCCGCAAGTCTTGTCTTTTTTGTTTCTGTGTGTTTGAGGCAGGGTTTTCTGTGCAACAGTCTTTGCTGTCCTAGAACTCACAGAGATTGTCCTGCCTCTGCCTCCTGAGTGGTCAGATTAAGGGTGTATGCCACCATGCCTGACTCAAGATTTATCTCCTCCCCCCCCCCTTCTATTTGCATTGTCTTCTGCAATGGCTGCAATCCCCTTAGCTGTTAAGCATAGTCCACAAGGCCAGATGTCATCCATTCCTGCTAACCCTGGGCTGGCCCATTCCACGCCTCAGTTTCCTCACCATAAAATCAACAGAGTGGGCAACCAAGACCCTGAGGGAGGCAGGTGGCCAGCCATGGGCTGAGGCCCTACAGAGTCCTCCTGCCTCCCTGCCGCTATCCAAGGTGCTGAACGCACCTATGTTTAGGAGACTAGTCAAGCCCCATCCCAGGCTGCCTGCCAGAGCCCAGCCTCTGAAATTCATACACCTTGCCACTTATACTCTCAAAATATTGTGTGTGTAGACAGGGTCTAGTGTAGGCCAGGCTGGAATCCAACTCAGAGATTCACCTGCCAGTGCCCACCAACTGCTGGGTGACAGGTTTGTGCTCATTGAGTTACAGTCCCAGTATTGTCAAAATACTTTATTGACAGTCACAGTCTTAGAAAAGGGGGTGTATAGCTGGACGGTGGTGGTGTATGACTTTAACCCCAGCACTTGGGAGGCATAGGCAGGGGAATCTGTAAGTTCGAAGCAGACCTGGGCTACAGAGTGATAACCTGTCTCTAAAAGAAAAAAAAGGAGATGGACGTGTGTTGTGTACTCTCAAGTCTGCACCCCGGATTGGGGAGCCCAGACCCCAGAGGGTCTGCATTGTCTCAGTGATCAGGGAATAGGAAAGTCTCTGTGGGTTGGGGGTCCTGGCTCAGGTGTAAGTGTCTGTCTTGTCCTACACCGGGGTCTGTGCTAGGCCTGGCAGTCCCACTTCCACTTGGCATGCGGGGATCAGCTTATGGGGAGGTGCTGTCAGGCCCTATGGTTGTCTTGAGTCTGGACGTGCTACTGCTGGTCACAGCACCTCCAGAGCACCCCACACCAGAGGGACCCTGAGCCACCTTGGAACCCAGGACAGCCACATCTCCACCCCTGGCATCTCCAGCCCCATGCGGCCTGGGCTGAGCAGTGATTCCAAAGCCACCCAGTCCAGCAGGGTGGCCCCACCCAGGTCCTCCGTGGTGTTGACCAGCACCAGGGTGGAGTTGTCTAGCTCTTCTGCTGAGTCACTCAGCATGGGTATTTCTATAAAATTCCCCCAGTCTGTGCTGAGGCTGCTGGGAGAAGAACCTTTGTGGGGTGTGCCAACGTCTGGCCAGGGTCCTGGGACCTCGGAGCCTGGGACGATGTCGAGAGCCACGCGGGATGCAGCGTGGTTGTGGAGGGTTCTGGAAAACACTGTAGAGAATTGTGGAGTCAGAGGAGGAGAACATGGAGAGGTACAGTCCAGTCCTGGCCTTCATTCCATGGCCCCACCTTCGGGGGGCCTCCCCTGCTCCAGGTGTGCAGGATTTGGTGGGGATTATGACCCCTGGGTTTGTCACACTCATTCACATTGTATGCACTGTTATTTTTGGAGGGTGCCATAGCGCCCCTCTGTAGGTCTGAGGACCGTTTTTGCATGATTCCATTCTTCTACTTTGTGGACCTGGGAATTGAACTTGGGTTGTCAGCTTGGCAGCAAGTATCTATCTGCCCCCAAATCCCCTGACATGGGCTTTTGAGGTGTGTATATGTTCATGTGTGTTTATCTGCTGTCATTTTTGTCAGGAGTCTCATGTAGCCCAGGCTGTCCTGGGAAGCCTAGAATAACTGAACTGACCCTCCTGCCTCCACCTCCTGAATGGCAGGCCTGCACCACCAACACCTGGTTTCTATGGTGCTGGGGATGGAAGCCAGGGCCTCTCATATGCCAGGCTAGCACCCTGCCTGCCGAATCCTGCCCTCACCCTGGGGGTCAGGAGGCTGGGATCACCTACCTCGAACTGGCACGAAGTCTCCAGGACTGTTGACCTTGTTGGAGCCGAAAGGGCTGATGGAGGGGAGGATGATCAGGACGAAGGACAGCAGAAGGACCTGCCAGACATGGGGTGGGGTCACCCCATCCTTCCCCTCCCCCATGAGCACACCCGAGCTCACAGGCAAGGAAGCTGAGGTCCTGCTACCAGAGGGTGCATGAGACTTTATTTTATTTAGATGGGTGTGTGGTTTATTGCTGACCTGTAACTCAGCAATCCCCCTGTCTTTGTTTCCTGAGGTTTATCACAAGCCTGTCCTACCATGCCAGGCTCCAAAACCCCCCCACTACCCCACGACCCATTTGATTAAAACCAAGCACACCCCCAGTCTTGGGGACCCTGTACTCAACTGCAGTCTGGACTCACCGCTATACAGGTGCCTGCATGGGCAGACTTGTTGGTTGACTGGACCACAAGAGCCTGCAGGTGTTTCAGCTGCTCCAGAAGAGACCTTTCAGGGAGATGACACCCAAGTTGAGCCCTTGGGGGGTCTCCTTGCTTCCTGACCCTTTCTGGGATCCCCCATCTTCAATATACAAATTCCACCCTTTCTAAGATGCCCTTCTTGCCCCCCTCCTGCCTCTCTGCCCCTCAGTCCCTCTGATCCAGCCACACAGCAGACTCTGCCCTGTTCCAGGCCTTTGCCCAGACCTTGCCCTCTGTGCAAAGGATGTTGTTTCCACAGATATGTGTGTAGCTGGTTCTTGCTCATCCCATAGGACTTTGTATATGCCAATTCCTCTCTAGCCAACTCTTACACACCTGTCAAAGCCCCAAATACAAAATCCCCTCCTTGGTAGACAGAGGTCTCATTTCTTGCTCTTACAGCCAGTGTGCCAGTGTTTTGTCCCTCAAGCCCTCCCTTGGGCAAACCCTAGGGGGACTCTCCCTACTCAACACATACTCACAAATTTTGCTTTTCTAAATGCAAGACCTTCCTCTGTAGCTCCTGGTTCTGGGCAGTACAAGCTGACATCCTGGAAAGACAAGGACCCAGTGACATTGAGAACATGCCTATCATCCGCCAGCCTCACAGACATTTCCCAGGGACCCAGTGACCCTGAGAACAGTGGATCAGTAACAAGGCCAAGATATGTTTGTCACTTGTGTGTTCTATGTTGTGTGCATGCCTGTGGAGTTCAGACAGGGACCCAGATGTCTCCTGTAATCTCTCTCCACTTTTTTATGAGACAGAGTTTCTCTATGTAGTCCAGACTGTCCTGGATCTGGCTCATAGACCAGGCTGGCCTCAACTCACAGAGATCCATCTGCCTCTGCCTCCCAAGTGCTGGGATTAAAGGTGTGCACCACCATGTCCAGATTTTGTTTATATATATGGGAGAGAGGTGTGTGCCAGTGTGTGTGTGAGACAGAGAGCACCATGTATATGCAGTGTCCACAGGGGCCAGAAAGGGTCATTGGATCCCCTGGCACTGAAGTTTCAGCCATGGTAAGCCACCATGGGGATGCTGAGAATTGAACCCAGGTCCTCTGCAAGAGCAGTCTAACTGCTGAGCTGTCCCTCCAGCCTCATACCCAGGTATTTCTTATTACTTTCTTTATCTGTGTGTGTGCACATTAATGCAAGTGGTCACAGCAGAAGCAGCTGTTGGATTCCTAGGAGCTGGTGGCACAGCAGCTCTGAACAGCCCTTTGCTGGAAATCAAACTTGATTATTCATGAGAAAGCAGCAAGCAAGCAGCTGTAGTCAGTGAGCCATCTTACTGGCCTCACCAAACTGGCCAGTGAGCCCCAAGGAATCCCCTACTTCCGTTACTCCAGACTTTAGTGAACTGAGGCTGGAGATCTGACCTCAGGTCCCCATGCTTGAGCAGCATGCAAATGCTATCATCGATACAACCTGAGGTGTAGGGCAGATCTGCCAAAGGCAACCACCCCACTGTTCTCTGTGCTCTGTCTCCTACCCGGAGACTTTCTGATGCTTTCCAGGCCCCTCGTCACTCAGGCAAAGACTCAGTGCCCTGACCCCACACAGAGCTGAGGCAGCCCCTTCATCAGGACCATTTCCCCTGTGAGCCTCAGTGGGGCCACCTGTCACCAAGTCTGATGGACCCAAGTTTGACTCCTCACAGGAGATCTCAGGTGCATGGTGGCCTGCCTGGGTCCACACACTCCAATCAATCAATCAATGCCCGGGCCATCCCTAGCTGCCTTTGGACTCCTGGCATTAGTATGGAGAAACAGTACATCCCCATTTTTGTTAAGCTGTGAAACTTGGACCATCTCTGGTTCAGTTTCCCTTAGGAGTGTGCAGCTGTTCTCCAGACCTTACCTGTTCTCCAGACCATCGATGTATTCTTTTTTCTTCTTCCTGCTTTCCTGAGCCGACTGTTTGTTCCGGATCTTTCTGCGTATTTTTTTCAGCACTCTCTCCTCATACTGCAGAGTGGATGAGGCAGGGTAGGAAGCTTTTGTCAACCTCTGCTGTCCCCAAACCCACATCCAACCAGTGATCTGTTTGCTTGTATGAGACAGGGTCTCATGTAGCCCAGGCTAGCCTCTAACTCATGTAGCCAAGGATGACTTTGAACTCCTCATGCTCTGGTTTCCCCATCCTGAGTGCTGGGGCGGCAGGCCTGTGGCACCCTGCCTGGTTTCTGTGGTACTCTGATGCCTCCAGAGCTTTGATGTTTTCCTGGCTGCACTCATACTGCAGACCCCACTCATTCTGAGGAAATGTGTGGGCACCATCTTGGCTGTGACCCAGACCACAGCGCCACCTGATGGCAATCCCTAGGACCAGCACTTTGCCATCAGTGTAAACAGAAGGCAGAAAAAAACAGAATATCTTTCCGGAGGCAGAGGCAGGAAGATCTCTGTGAGTTTGTGGACAGCCTGGTCTACAGAGCCAATTCTAGGACAGCCAGAGCTACACAGTAGTTCCATCCACAGGGCACAGTGGTGCCCACCTGTCAGCCCTGGGACGGTGGAGGCAAAGAGATGAGAGTTTGAGGACAGCCTCGGCTGCAGGGTGAGACCTAGGCACATGAAATAAGTAGATCCAGCCCTGCATACCTTGGTGAGAGGCAGCCGGGTGGGGAGGGTCACCCCCTCTTTAGCCAGCAGCTTCTTCTCATCCTCTGTCAGCACCAGCTCCTGGCAGTGCCCACTCCCAGGTCCCAGCAGCTGGGAGGTGGCCAAGGAATGCTGTGGCTGTGGAACATTGTCCATTAGAGACGCATAGACTCTGAAACTAACAAAATGAGCAGGACATGGGGAGAGACTTAGGACTATTACCCAACACCCAGGACGACTGAGATGAGAGGAATGCAAGCTCCCTGTCAGGGAAACTTTGTAGCAAGACCCTGCCCTTACAAAATTAAAAAAAAAAAAAGGGTTTGGGGTGTCACTCAGGGCTGGAGGGTAGGGCTCAGGGATGGGGTGGGGCTCAGGGCTGGGCTTAGGATGGATTAATTGTCAGGTGCAGTGGTCTTACGTCATCATCACATAATGCTGGCACTGGTTCCAATAATCTCTATCCTGACCCTGTCTCCCAGCAGAAAGCTGGTCCTCCTATAGTCACCCATGGCTCCCCCATGCCCTCTCCTTTACTGCAGATTCTGCCAGTCCAGGGGAGCAGACAGGACACTGCAGGACTGTCTGGGCATCAGTGTCCCAGGCTGTGCAAGGCAGACATGGAGGGAGGGGTCTGTCCCAACATTCAGGACCTGAGGCAACAGGGTGGGGGTGGAGATACCTACCAAGTCCCCACCACTGCCAGACAGCAGTAGTTCCTTCACTGTGAGGTTGAATCTGGAAGGTGAGCCAGCCTGCTCCTCTGGATACAGCATGTCTGTGCTCCACATGTCTGTCAGGCGGGGAAAGGACAGAGAGGACATTGGGCCATCAGTCTCAGTGCCCAGCCCCCAGCAAGTCCCCAATGTCAGCCTCAAAAATTAAGACCTTTTTTCCTATTAAGACAGGGTTTATCTGTACAGCCCTGGCTGTTCTGAAACTTGTTATGTAGACCAGGCTGGCCTCAAACTCACAGAGATCTGGCTACCTCTGCCTCCTGAGTGCTGGAATTAAAGATGTGCGCTACCAGGAAACAGTACCCTGTGTCTCGGTCTCCCCTCTGCTATAAAAGTTGCAACACAAACTCATCTTGTATGTGGATCTGCGCCATGGTATTGCAGAGGACTCAGAGCCAGGACAGCAAGGAGTGGCTGCCACACAAGGGTACAGGACTGGGAGCCTGTGACAAGTTCTGTGTCATCTTGGCCTGTTCCCCAATGGCCTGCATGCAGTAGGCATGCTGTTTAACAGCACAAATATCGTGGCAGTAAACTCTGGCTTCTGATCAGACTGAGCAGAGCTGTGTGACCTTAGGAAAGTGCCTTCACTTCTCTGAACCTGGATTTTATCAGGAACAAGGTTTTTTTTTTTTTTAATTGTTGTTAACATTCATTTATTTTATGTATATGATTGCTCCACCTGCAATGTATCCCTGCAGGCCAGAAGAGGGCACCAGATCCCATAAAGAGATGATTGTGAGCCATCATTTGGTTGCTGGGAATTGAACTCAGGGCCTCTGGAAGAGCAGCTAGTGCTCTTAACCTCTGAACCATCTCTCCAGGCCAGGAACAAGGACTTAATGCGAGGAAAAAGCACCTTGCAAATCTTCAGAGACAGATCATGGGGGAGTGGTCAGGGTGGAGCCCCACCTAGAATCCTGCAGTGAGGGGTTAGTAGAGTAGTCAGCAGCAGCCCTGTGTCCCTGTATCTCTAGCTTGGGCTCTTCCTGGCTAGGGGTGCCCATCAATAGATGTCCCTCAGGTAAATCATTATTGATCGTGGGGGTGGCCTCTGATAAGCTGTCCTTCATGGCAGAACCTGCGCCTGTGCCAGGGGCTCTGGACTCTCCCATACTTTTATTGAGCACTCCTGTGTTAGCCACACTTGGACAAAGCAAGATCCAGGCCACCCTCTGGCCTCATGTCTTGATTGCCTGGTGTCTGAGCCACCTGTGGGAGCTTGTGCCTCAGGACTGAGGCTGGTACCTATCTGTGAAATAGGCCCCTGCTTGTCACTGGCCTGCAATGTGTTAATCTGTCCCATACTCACCCAGATCAATGGCCACTGAGGACTCCAGTACTTGTGTGCTTGGAGGTGCAGGGCATGGGGCACTGGGTAGGTAGGAGGGGCAGGGCCCCTTGCCTTGCTGGCTTGAGTGACACCTGGCTATGGTGTTAGCTGCTCCAGGGCTGCCATGAGGAGGGGTGTCCTGGGGATCTGAGGGCAAATCCTCAGAGATGCCACTGTCACTGTCAGCTGGGGACCATATTGGTGAGCTGGGGTCAGAGTCTCGGGGTCCCAGGATGGAATTTAGGAAGTCATCAGAGTCAGAATTTGGTAGAACCTTCTAGAAGGGAAGTGGAGAGAGTAAGACATATACTTATGTGAGTCTGGGCAAATCCCTGTCCCTCTCTATGCCTTCAAGACAAAGCCATCCTTTCTCTATGAGCATTTGAGACATGCTAGCAGTAAGATTACAAGAAGGGAAAGACATAGACAGCACCTGAGTTTGAACCTGAACTCAGTTCCAAGTTAGTTGTATGACTCGGGTTAGCCACTTCACCCCTACCCCCAGTAGAAGAAACATCTAGACACACATTGGCAGTTGATTAAGCAGCTTCAATGAGTGAGGCTCACAGGTGTCCCTGTGCCCTCCCCAGCCCCCCCAGCACTGTGGCTGGAAGCGTCCACACAGGAACCCTCACTTGCTCCTTCCCGGCGTGGCTCCACCCTTCTGCCAGCTCTACATTTCTCAGAATGCCATCCTGCCGGTCAAACAAGAGGTCCAGGAGTTCCAGGCTGTCCAAGGGACCCATGGTGCAGGCAGGGGACACCATCTGAAGTGAGGAGAGAGAGGGGGCAGGTCACACTCACAGCACCCTAGCTCCTTCTGGGACCCTCGGGCCCTGGACTGGGTCTCCATCTGTGAATCTGCCCTGGGGTAGCCAGGAGTCTAAAAAGACCACAGCAGTGTGAGGTTATGATTTGAGTTCTCAGGGAGCTGAGGCAGGAGGATGGCAGGTTCCAGGCCAACCTGGGTTACCACCAGAAAGACTCAAAATAAAAATATGAAGGAAACAAACAAAACCTGGGGATGCATATGGCTAGTGTGCTGAGGCACACATTTCATATAATTTTTTAAAACGTTACTAGAGATGTGTGTAAAACAAAACAAACAAACAAAAACTTCTAGAGATTGGTGCCTGGATCAATCCTGTCCTGAAGTCCCTGGGAGGTTGGGGTCCCACAGCACTCCCTGTCCAGCTGTCCTCTCGCTGGCGTGATGTATCCCTGTTAGCCTGGAAACCCTCCAGCTCACCCCTGCCCATGGCCCCTCACCTTTCCTGTCGAGATGTCCCCATCCATGTCCAGGTCTATGCTGCCCCTTCCCGGGTGGGTCACTGTCGCCGCCTGCTGCTCCCTTTGCCACTCTCCACCCTCAAAGGATACTGAAATACGGCCCCCAGCAGTTCCCAGCCCAGCCCCCGCTGCAACTGGGCCCGAGGGGAGACAGACAAGACCTCAAGCCAATGGAAAGCGGCTGCGGGGGAGGGCGGGATGACCGTTATCGCTCTGTTTTGTGCTCTTCCAAGGAGCAAAGGGCAAAGTCTGGGGTGTCGGGTCTGCGGTGACCTCTCCCCTACTTACAGCCACCGCTTATTTCTAGCCTCACAGGATGTTGGGTCCCCAGCAAAATGCAGGGTTCTTGGGTGGTTTGTGCCTGCTCCCTCGACAGAGCGAAACAGCAGACACTTGGGTGTGGAATTCCGTCCCCCAATGCAGGGTGGCAACCCCTCACTTGCTGAGCACCCCCCACCGTCCCACGTGGGTAATCAATTCCTCTGGAATCACCTGGCCTGCATTTATTTAGTCTACAAATATTTATACAAACTGCACTTTCCCTACCCCAGGGCCTTTGCACCTACCTGTCCGATGACTGTCTGTCACATTAAGTCTTTCCTAGTCCAGCTTGGGCTTCCAGTCACTATCCATCTAAGGATGACCTTGAACTCCTGATCCCCCTGCCTCCACCTCCTGGGATAACAGGTGTAGATGACAGTCACCACACTTGGTTTATGTGGGACTGGGACACAAGGAACCCAGGACGTTGTGTCTGTCACCATAACAGCTGTCAGAGCTCGGTCTGCCGCTTCCATCTTATTGCTTTCCTTCCACTTTCTGCCCCCTTGTGCTATGTCCCCACCCCAACCATGCCCTGGCTCCAGCCACAGTGACACCCTCAGTGGCCAGGATGAATTCTGTAGGTCATTGCCAGCTGCTGGTGTCCAGAAGAGAGTGGGTATACCAGCCACCAGATTAGGTGTGGCCAATCAATCCACAAGTGACCTGGATTGGACTGAGATGGGTAGAGAGAGGAGTGACAACTTGGGAGAGAAATGTCACCAAGAAATCAAATGACTGCACAGTAAGAAGTGAGGACCACCTGGAATCCTGAATGGGACAGTGAATGAACTCGAGGGTCAGCAGGTGAAAGGTGTGTCAGGCTAAAGAGATAACCTGTGGAAAGGTCCTGGGGCAGTCCGGAACTGCAAGCTTGGAAGGAGCATCGAGAGCCCTCCTGAGCTGGAGAAAGAGGGGTGGGGAGGGAAGAGGAGGGCAGGAAACTGCCCTTAAGAAGACATTCTGGAGTGGGATGGTTATGGTGAACTCTAACCCCAGCACCCAGGAAGCAGACAAGTGGATCTCTGTGAGTTCCAGGCCAGCCTGGTCTACAGAGTGAGTTCCAGGACAGCCTCCAAAGCCACACAGAGAAACCCCGTCTCTTTAAAAAAAAAAAAGAATGACATGGTGTGGGAGTTAAGTGAGCACATGCGCAATAAGTAAACACATGCTCAATCACTAACTGCACCAGAAAGGCATAAAGCAAAGGACTGAAACCCCGGGTACAGCTTGAGCTGAACAGGTCAGGGAGACTTCTCTGAGGAGGGACGTTTGAGATGAGGCCTGGAACGAGAGGTGACAGTGAGAGGGTGACAGAGCCAGAATTAGCACAGGAAGGACAGGAGAGGAGGGAAGGACTGGATAGGGCATGCAGGACTTTGAGGGTTGTCAAGGAGCCTAGCATGGACTAAATCTAGCAGGAAGCTGGTGGGAACTCAGCAAATGGATGAGGGGCCAAGGACAGCATCAGGACAAATGTACTTTGGCAGGGTGAATGGAGGCCAGACAAACTGTTCTGTGTCCTGCAGGGCCTAGGATGTCCCACAGAACACAATGTAGCAGAGTTGCAGTCCTCTGGATACCACAGGGCCCTTGGCCTCTGCTTTTCTCACTGTCCCCAGGGGCCTCTGGGTTTGCTTCCTAGGGTTGTATTTGGTTTGGCCAGAATGTGTGATCACAAGTGAACAGTGAATGTTCTTCAGTCATTTAAGTGATGGCTTCTTGCCACACTGCTGCTGCCAAAGGATGACCACCTGCTGGCAGAGGCCTGTGTTCCCAGCTCTTCCAAAGCACCAAGCAGGAACATTTTAAAAACAAGGGAGCCTGGTGTGCTGGGGCTCACCTCTATCCCCAGCACTCAGGAGGCAGAGGCAGAGGCAGAGGCAGGCAGATCTCTGAGTTCCAGGCCAGCCTGGTCTACAGATTGAGTGGCAGAACAGCCAAGGCTACATCTCAGAGAAACCTTGTCTCAAAAACCAAAACAAACAAAAAACTAATAAAAATAAACAAAAGCAAAAAAGAGAGCCTGAGGCATAGTGTAACTCAAGAGCACCCCCCCATCTCCCAGTGAGGGACTGGGGACATGGTCATGAATGCAGTCCTGCCCAGAATCCTCCAGTGAGGGGCTGGGGGTGGTCAGAGTGGAGCCCCACCTGGAATCCCCCAGTGAGGAGCTGGGAGCATGGCTGAGTCATGAATTCTTCTCCATCATGCCATGAGTCAAAGAGCTCCACCCCTAGTACTGCAAAAGTTAAAGCCAGTAATGAATTAATTTGTTATTAACTAGATCTGTCCTTTGCTGGCTACTTTATAACAAGGCGTGTCTGCAAGCTCACAGCCAGTCTTGTGATGATGATGACGTTCAGGGGCTGTCTCTGTCCCTCCCTGGCAGCCTAATCCCTTGGACCTGATGGGTGCTGGGTGTGTCAGGACAGACTGCACAATTCGAGGGACAGAGCACCTGACTCACCCTGGCCCCTGCTCCAGGCCAGGCCACACCCAGGTCCGATGTTCTGGGCCAGTCATCCATATCTGCTCACCTGAGCCTCTCGCCCCACCTTTGCATTTGGGACCGCTGCTGGGGAGGATGGAGAGTTCAGGCCACCGAGACTCCCTTGCCCCCCTCCTCTTCCCTCCCTCTCCAGGCTCCTTCCTTGGAACAAAGCTAGATGTGAGTAACCCCCTTGAGATAGTGATGGGGTGTGGCTGGATGGCCACAGGGGACTCTGGTCTCTCTTGGGTAGCTATCAGGCTGCATCATGGCCTGTGTATCAGGCTTCATTGCTCCAAGAAAGGTGTGTCCTGTCCCCCCACTCCCACCCCCACTCTGTGAGAGCTCAGAGCTCATTTCACGCTACAAGTACTTCACTAGCTAAGTCATCCCTCTGGCCCATGTGCCAGGTCAGGGAAATAGAGGACTTAACCACCTCCCACAATGGTAGATGACCCCAACACCACTCAAAAGATTCATGGTAAGGAGGCATCTCAGCACTCAGAGGGTACAGAGGATCAGAAGTTCCAGGGATGGTGGGGTGGCCTGGACCTGTGGTTAGAGGATAACCCAGAGGCCTGTGGGGTTGCAATGTGTGAGTTTGGGTTAGAATACTGGAGAGGACAGGGTGGGCAGGTGACCAAGGGTCTGATCCTAAAGACCACAGAATGGATTGTAGAATGGTCCCTGCAAGGCCAGTCCCACAATGGGAATAGCTTTAAAAGGTTCTCCAGGAGCCAGGATGAGGACAGAACAGGAAGGCTCCAAGACAGTCACTGGCTTCTGCCCAGGTCAGTGCCACACGGGGCAGCCTCAGGGTCATTTCCCGATCCACACTTGGCTGGCCCTGCTCCAGCCGGCCTGCCAAGTCTAGCCACCATCTCATTAGTGATTGCTTTATGGCTGAGGGGTGCAAAGGTTACAGTGAACCCTGATGCCAGGCCAAAGGGGCTGTGGAACCGTTTCTCTATCTCAGCATGGGACCCTGGAGCTGCAGGGGTGTGAGGTCACCTCATGTCTCACAGGCTGCTGTGGCAGGGACTCACACCTCCTGCCTTAGCCTTCTGAGTGCTGGGATGTCAGGGACTTCATGACACCTGCTGAAACCTTGTTCAGCACCAATTTAGGTTATCACTCAGGGAGGTGGTGGCACACTCTAATTCCAGGGGAGGCACACTCGGGAGGCAGGGGCTGGAGGATCCAAGGACAGCCTGGTCTACAAAGTGAGGTCCAGTACAGCCAGGGCTACACAGAGAAACCCTGTTTCAAACAAACAAAACGGACATCACTTGTGTTTTAGATTTATGTCTGCATACCATGTTCGTTCAGTCCCTGCAGAGGCCAGAAGAGGGCGTCTGGTTTCCTGGGGCTGAATGCTGAATTACAATTGTGAACCACCATGCTGGTAATTGAACTTGGGTCCTCTGAGAAAGCAGTCATTCTCTAACCACTGAGCTCCCACTCTCCATTTCCTTGGTGCTCAGCTTAGAGCCCAGGACTTCATCCATGGTAGGCAGGAACCCCTTCACTTCAATGCTCCACACTCTTGCCATGGCTCTCCTATTGAGAATCTGCCAGGGATATGGAGGCACATGCCTGTCATCTAAGCACTCAGGAAGTGGAGGCAGGAGGATTGCTATTAGTTCAATGTCAGTCTGGATAAAAGTGACACCTGTGTCTAAACATAAACAACAAATAACAAAGCCAGTCAATGTAGACGGGTGGCTCAAGCCTGTCATTCCAGTGCTCAGGAAGTGTGGGACTTCACTACATAGAGACTTGCAGGCTAGCCTGGGCTATATATAAATTAAAAGTAACATGTAAAATGAATTAAGCCTAGTGTTGTGGTTGACTTTGGTCCTGGACAACCTGCACCACATAATGAGGCCCTGCCTTAAAAAGAGAGAAAGAGAAGTTAACTAAACAGTATAAGAAAATTACCCAGCCTGTTCTAGTCCTTTCCTCCCAGCTCCCTGTCACACTGGCCCAGCGTGGTTCTGCAGGCCTAGCGGTGGCACCCCCTAGAGGGCGATGCCCATAAGCATACTTGCTGGGCCTCTTCAGTAGTCAATTATTCAATTAATTAGTGTTTCGTTAATTAGCTAACAATAAGTTGACTGGTGACAAGTCTCATGTTGCTCTGTCTGTCCTGAAACTCACTTTGTAGTTGAGGCTGACTTTTAACTCTCAACTTTCCTGCCTCCACCCTATCAGTTCTGGGATGACAGGCCTACATGCCCGCC